GACAATGTTGTGTGAACCGTGCCTGGAGAGCTATGGGTGGTTACAGTAGACCTTTGCTCACAGTGATGTGGTATTCTACACCTGGGTGGTTATTGGAGGGCATTCTCCAGAGGAGAGTAGTATAAGCAGGAACACTGACGCAATACCCAGGCCAGACCATTGCTTGCAGGCTGAGAAGCTAGCCACTGATCTCACAATATGGCAGGGCTGCCACAGCTCTGCCCAAGCAGCAAAGCACACCTGCTCAGTCACCAGATAACGCCTCCACAGCAATTGTTCAAGCCCATACTTGGGGTAAGGCTCTCCAACCTGCATTGCACGGCCACCAAGGCTAGGAATTCAGACCAAAGGACATGTAATACTAATGACCCTGTGAGACAAGGGTTCAGTCTCTCCCAGGAGATAAAAAAGTCATACTTTGGTCCCTGAAATGCAGTACTGTTCAGCACATTTAAAAATTTTATATTGCAGAGAAAAACTAACCTATAGTTCTCATTAAAGCATGCACTTAATAGTAATCCAATTTTTTAAAGAGACTTAATTAAGTTCCTTCTGACCTGTATCTAAACTATGGCCATCCCCTATCAGCACTCACTCAAAGCTGTCTCTGGAAAAAATTCATAATAGTTCACAAGAAGGTAGGGAATTATTTAGATGTAGAAAAACATATACTATTTAAGAAAGCAAAGCTTCAGAAATACCCAAATGATGTGCTGAGTCCTGAAGCAACCCAGTGGTAAAACTGCACTGGAACTAAGGAGTCATGTCCATGTTGCTTTTCCTTACTGTATTTGTTCCAGAAAGTTACCACCTTGCCCCTGGGACATTAAGGATGTCCATGGCCAGAGACTCTCAAAGGGGAATGGAGTAACAGGATGTAGGCTCACAAGCTCAGCTCTGCCCCTGCTACGTCTCCTGTATGGAAGAATCAGATGCTGGGGAGAAGTTTGCTGCTCTATATCTTTGCTCTGTCTTGATGGTGGGAGTGGGGAGGGTCTACCCAAAGAATTAGTAATACTGGATGAATCCTTCTAGATCAATTTGTCCTCTCTCAGGTAACAGGGATTTTTAAGCAAAAACAAAAACGCATGAGGAGAAAATGACGAAGGTCTATGGTCTTTCCCGCCCTCTAGTTCCCCCATCTGTCCTATTCTCTGGGAAAGTATTAAAAGTATCCCCATAACTCAGCTGGCTCAGGGCAGATCCAGCACCAGTCTTCTTCTTCACTCCCTCAGGAAGGTCAGCCAAGAACCTTGTGATGCACTGTGTCAGGCACTGTGTGATACAAAGGTGACTGAGGTAACCTCCCACTCCTCAAGGACTTTGAGTATAGTAGAGGATAAATGGCCTAGACAAAAGCTAACCATATTGAAGGAAAAATAGTCTCTGAGCCCTGGGAGAGGCCCAGGTGGGCATCGGGTGCTGGGGAAAATGGGGAGCATGAGGTTGGTACCACTCTCAGCCTTTGCCAGGCCCTGGACCCCAGGTCACACCAGCAGCCCTGACCAATATGGGCAATGGGAAGAGCCTCCCCTTGAGAAAGGCCCTAGTCAACAGCTATCCCTACTACCAGTAGTAATACTAACAGGAGCCATAATTGTATACCAATAGTATTAACAATAATAACAGCAGCAATAATTGCGTCTTACAGCAATGAACTGTTCCTATGTCCTGGGTATTCTCAGGCACCATCTTTGTTTCATTCTCTGAGCAGACGCAAAGTAGATACTGAGCTATCATGACCCCCACTTGGATACATGAGAAAACTGAGCCTTAGAGAGGTTCTTTCATGCATTCACTCAACAAATATTTTTCAATGTCTACTATGAACCTAATTACCACTCTAGCAATTGACAATGAGACAGAAAAAAAACCTCTTACCATATGGTATATACATTCTAGTGGGAGATCAGATGCTTATTTAAGTAAAGGACACAGGATTCAAACTCAGTCCCTCTGACTGCAAAACCTGTACAGTACTTTCACACTCCCAAGAAGCAAGCTGCCCAAGCTAGGCCACTGCTACTTACACTCATCATTATCAGCAAAATATCACTTTTTCTCAATTTTAGGATGCACAGCTTTTACCTCTCTGAAATCCTGGAATCTGGGTGTATTTTATATAATACATGAGGAGAGAAACCTGTGGGCTGTAGGCAGAGAAGTAAATCATAATATAGCTGATACTTTGGTTCAAGTGTGAATTTGGCTGAATACTAAAATTTTTGTAAGTATTAACATTAAATGCAGCTGAATTTGAGCTTAAGACCCCTAACATTACTTCAAATTCATTCCAAAATTCCCACTATAAAACAATCCTGAAAGGAAAAAACTATTGTGCATGCATGAGGTGATTGATTATTCCATGCAATGTGATTAAAGGGGAGTAGGAATCATAAGTCCAGGACACATAATTTTTAAAGCACAAAGGACTAATATTCAGGTGAAAAACACCTAATCATCAGAAGTCTTTAGCTATTTAGCTTCCAGTAATACTTGATCTAGTAAGGGAAAAAGATAGAACTATGGGGCTAGCAAAGGAGAAAATGCAGTCTACACCCTTACCACTCTTTGATAGATCTCACGATTCCACCACCAAGCTTAAAGTTACTAAAGAGTAAGAGTATGAATGATATGCTTTCTGAAAAGAATCACAGAATTCTGAAGTTACACATAATTTCCAAGACTGAAATATGATACAGAACTTCATTCGTGTGCAAAACACCCAGATGTGCTCCAAACTGCTTAGACAGAAAGAACAAATCGTATGAAATCACACGAATTAATGAGAGCTTCTATAGACATTTAAAATTATGGAGTTTTTTTTATTTCTGGAAAGCAGCAGTTAACTCAAGGTCACATTTTAATATTAACAATGACAAAATTGATGCCATTATCATTATTAGTGGTACCTCAAAATAGAGGATTATGGTGATGACAGATGACAATGACAATTGCCATTTATTAAACACCTGCCAAACACTGTTTGGTATTTTATATCTATCATCTCTAATCCTCAAGACAATTCTGTGAAGGAGGTACTTAGACTTCTCATTTTACATTTAAGGAAGCTACATCAAAGAGACCAGTGAATCTTGAGGTCATATAGCCTGTACGCATACTGGGACCCGAGTCCAAAGCCCCTGAGGTTTCCAAGAGTACTCTAATGCCTCTCCCTACTAACAGACCACCCCACCCTGACACAGCAGGAACAGTTAAGCCCTCACTTGAAGAAAACGCTGTGCTCTCTATGGAGGGTGAGCCACATCAGTTCAAAGTAGGTAGCAGGTCCCCTGATCTAAACACTCCAAACTGATCCAAAGCCTGCTATTTAAAAAAAAAAAAAAGTGTTTTTACCATTTTTGCAAATAGTTTTTCCTCAGCCTCCCAAGTATTGTAATTACAGGTATGTCAGGTATATGCCACCACACTTGGCTTTAAAATCCTGCTATGATTTATATGATTCTTCCATTTCCTCAATCTTCACTTGAGACTATGCTCAAACAGACTGGTCCCAGTAGCAAAATCCAGAAACAACAGTAAACGCACTGGGCAAGAAGAAAAGGAGTCCTGCCTATTTCCAGGGTGAGGAGGAAGGGGTCTGCAGCCTGGCCAGAGGCATCGCTTCTACTGGAGGTGCTGCTTCTCATCAGAGTTAATGCAGGCAGAGGCCTCCCTGAGCCCAGGTAGAGTCTTCTTGTCCTAGTTACCTGCTAGGGATCCATCAGGGGCTCAAGGCCCATAGTTCTAATGTAATACACAATTGCTTTTCTTCTTGACCAGACTTGCCCAGGATGACAGGCAGGGAGTTGTGAACTTTACCCCATTCCCTTGATACATAGTGCCTGGACGGTTTCATCTTTGATGTAAAATTCTTTTCAAGGCTTTTTCCTTGAATATTCACTAAGAAAGGGCCTCAAGCTTGGACACTAGGAGTGAACTAAGATGACTCAAGAAACATTTACCGAACATCTCTGAGGATAAGAAATTAACACAATGTGGTTCTTACCATCAGGGATCTCAGAGTCGTGTGTGGTAAGTCCATCTCAGGACTAATTATAACACACAGAAAAAGGTGAGTGCTATCCTGGAACACATGAAGAAGAGATTAATTCCAGAGGCAGAGTCAAGAACAGAGTTGGCTAACACTGACCGTGCACCTACTAGGCATTTGACATAGACCACGATCCCACTGAATTCCAGGTACTCCACGGAATATGTCCTAATACTAACATCTTGACTTGACAAAAGAGGAAGCAGAGGAGAGGCAAAGCACCTCGCCCCAGGTCACAGAACTAATTTGCAAATGCTAGAGATGAGATGTGGCCCTGGTGGCAGATTCCATGTCCTGCTGTAGACTCCATCTCCTGGAGCAAAGAAATTCTTCCTGGCTAAGAAGAGCTGGAACTGGTTTCCTCTTCTGTAACATGAGTACAAACACAATGCCTGCTTCCCAGAACTATGGTGAAGGCAGAATGAACTGAAGAATGTAAAGATTTAGTCCCATGTTTGGCTAAAGTGCTTAGAAAATAGAGGCAGTATTGTCATTATAACCATCATCTCACTACCACTTTTTTCTTTTGGTGGTACTGGGATTTGAACTCAGGCCCTCACACTTGCTAGGCAGGTGCTCTACCACTTGAGCCCTTTTTGCTTTAGTTATTTTTTCAGGTAGGATATCTCACATTTTTGCCCAGGGCCATCCTTGACCATGATCTTCCTACCTATTGTTTCCTATGTAGTTGGGATGACAGGTACATACATCATACCCAGCTTACTGAGATGGAGTCTTGTTAACTTTTTGTCCAGACCAGCTTCCAACTGCCATCCTTCCCATCTCTGCCTCCTGAGTAGCTGAGATTACAGGTATCAGCCACCTCACACTTATTTTTAAAGTGTCCAGAGTGTAGTGGTTATTGACCAGCAAGGCCTTTTTTTTCATAAGTTAAAAGGATTTTTTTTTTTAAATGGTGAGGCTCCTATTTCACCAAGGGCCATACCTTCTCTTCTGAGGAAACAGTCAGCTTGTCACTGGATATCAAGCTGCACACCTGGTCCAGAGTTAGGCTAAGAAACTCTTCCCCCAGCATCACCTCTGGAAAGTGCTGCTCTGTTCCAAAACAACCAAAAAAAAAACAAGAAAACAAAAAAAGAAGTTAAGAAAACAAAGTTACAACACACTCCTGCTCTTCCATGACAATCTGTGAGGCTGAGAGTGGAGGCCTGAAGGTGAGGTGGGGAAGGGGAAGGAAGGAAGAGGGAGAGGCAGAGGGAAAGAGACGTTCTGGCTGGCTGGAGGGAAACTAGCCTTTTAATTCAGCAGCAAAGGCATGTATTGCCCTGTGTGACCTTCTGTCCTAAAAAATGACACAGACAAAAATGGGGCCTAAGAGATCTGAGTTAATACATTTTCCATGTTCTGTGAGATTAATGCTGGCACTGCAGAACAGCCTCACTGGGGTCTGTCTACTTAATTGAGCTCATTTCCCCTCCAGGCATAAGCGCAGTACCCCCCTGCAGCTTAGCTAAACAGAAGTGGGTCAGAATAGCTGTGTGTCATGGCAGGAAGTCTCGGGATATCTTTTAGGAAGTCAAAATTAGGAGCCAAAAGATAGGATCAGCCTTTCTTGCCCAAAGTCAAGCCTATTATAATGATTTACAAGAAGGAATCGAGCCTCAAATCCTGGCTTTGCCACTTCTGAGTTGAGTCCTTGGGCCTATACATCTCTTCCCTGGATTTTGCTGTCCTCTTCCATAAAGTGAGGGGAGCACTGCCAGTCTTGCTTCTCACTGTGCTCAGATGAGAACAGACCTCTAAAAGGGCTTTGCAAGCTTTCCAAGCCAAGCTCACTCAAGGATGGACAATTTCTTGTTTAGTAGGCTCTGGGGAATCACGGGACTCTGTCATTTGCCCCAGACCTTATCCCCTTCCCAGTTCCCTTACAACCCTGCACCAGTGAGGGGTATCTGTGCTCTTTGCCCTCCAGGTCTCTCCCCTTCCTTCTTTGGTGGCCCCTCTAGCCTGGTAGCTTCTTGGATAACTTTAAAGGACTATCCCTCCAAGTTCCCACTGAGAGCTATGCCTACTTGGTCTAGCTGATCTGTTAAATGAGCATTAACTTCTCAAATTCATCAACACACATCAACTTCTTAAAAACCAAAAACAGAACTTAAGACTGAAATCATTTCTTGCAAAAAAAAAAAAAGACAAACATTTTTAACTTTTATATTGAAATAATTTCAGTCCCAAAGAATTTCCATATAAACTTCTACCTTCATCCAGATTCCCTAAATAACGGGGTTATAAACCATCTTTTCCATTTTTTGCTGAATAAGAAGGGCTTCCCACTCACTCCCTACCAGTCTAGGATCATTGTGTCTCCACTAAACCTTGTATATCCTGAAACTCAGGAGTATTTATACATGACAAATCTAATTTTTTTTTCTTGTGATGCTGGGGATTGAACCCAGGGCCTTATGCATGCTAGGCAAGTGCTCTACTGCTGAGCCATGTCCCCAACCCTAAAAGTCAGATTCTTTATGAAGGCAAGTGATTTCCATGAAGTCAGGAAACTAAGAAGCTGCTGTTTCTCTGCGTGCCAACAGGAAAACCTATGGCTTTTAGATTCTCAAGAGAGCCCTGCAAACCAGCATCAACATCTCAGCAGTCCAGAGCCACATCTGGCCTTCCCATGTTCATCTTTGGTTGAGCAAGAAACTGACATTTTGAAGAGAAAAAAGAGTGAAGAGGCAAGAAAGTCAAATTTTGTTCTGTGGGGGAAAAAGAAAAGAAAAAACAAAACTGAACCAAAAAACTTCCTTACAGCTCATGAAGTCAAAACTGATGGGCTTGGAGTTTGAAAAGGAAGACAAGGACTGGAGGAATGGCTCAGGTGGTAGAGCGCCTGCCTAGCAAGCATGAGTTCAAACCACAATACTGCCAAAAACAAAGAGGAAGAAAAGAGGGGAAGAAAGGAAATGGAAGGGAAGGGAAGGAAGGAAAAGGAATGGAAAGAAGGAAGGAAGGAAGGAAGGAAGGAAGGAAGGAAGGAAGGAAGGAAGGAAGGAAGGAAGGAAGGAAGGAAGGAAGGAAGGAAGGAAGGAAGGAAGGAAAGAAAGAAAGAAAGAAAAAGGAAGTGTAGGAATGCCTATTCTAGGTGATGAACCAGAAATTCTAAGATGAATAAACGCAGAAAGCAGTCACACACACACACACACACACACACACACACACATCCTTCCATCTGTCACCCTGGGAGGCACTGCAGGATTTCAGTCTAGGCCCCTTCTTTCTGCAGTGGGCTGCTTCTTTATCCATGAGAAACCTTCCACTGAAATCCAGAAATCCTCCCAGGGTGCACTGTCTGGTGGGAAGGGGCAAGAAGGGAGGTAAAAGAAAGCACTTCTCATTCAATCATTCAAGCCTGGCACCCCAGGGACCCAGGAGATTTGCAGGACATGAGCAGGAAGAGACAAAGAAAGAGACCCCCAATAGGAAAAGTGCTTTTCCTGCCACCCCCAAGCCTGTGGAGGCTGCTGGAAAGAGGACTTCAAAGAGGTCTGGAAGGCTATGGTGCAGGACCATTCTTGCAAGCTGTAAGAACAGTCTATGGAAGCAAAGAAAGAACATGCCCTTCTTAAAACTGAAGGTGCTTATGCCCAAGATGAAACTGAATTCTACTTTGGCAAGAGATGTGCTCATGTGTACAAAGCAAAGAACAACACAGTGACTTCTGGCTGCAAACCAAACAAAACCAGAGTAATCTGGAGAAAGATAACTAATGCCCATGGGAACGAGGCATGGTTTGGGCCCAAATGAGAAGCAGTCTTCCTATAAAAGCCACAGAATCTGTGTGCTGCTGTACCCCTCAAGGACTTAAACTCATAGGGTAAATAAGTAAAAGTGGATTTGGGAAGAAAGAAAGAAGAAACGGAAGGAGAGACAGAAGTACACCTTTTTTTCTCCCTTCAGTATGAGGAGACAGGGTTGAGAGCCGAAGTCCCCTTCTGTTAGCACCACTTAAAAAAGAGCGGGATAGAAGAATAAGATCAGGATTCCCTGGTTTACTCACTTTCCCCACAAGCAGGATTTCAGATTTCCCCACAAGACTGTGTACTCAAGCCAGCCCTTTTTGCAGCTGCTTCCAGAAAGACCCAACTCTGTTTTCAGAAGATATTTTCCTAAGAACCATATTCTACTTTTAACAGTTACTTGTGTTTTGTTTGTTTTGTCCCCTGCCCATGCACCTCTGTCCCCCAAGGTCTAGCTTGTCTGCCACCTCTCCATGACATTTCCTAGAGTTTCAAAACAAATCCTAGGTCACATATTATGGTTCCATTTTATGGATGAGGAAGCCAAAGTCTGGAAAGAAGTAATTGTAGAGATGAACCCAGGTCCTCTTTTAGCTAAGGCCTCCCAAAGTTGAAAGGCTGAGAAAACAGACATTTACAGATGGATGAACTGAAGCTCAAAAAGTTTAAGTCTGACTTAGACTTAGGGTCACAGTAAGCATTGAGCCAAGTTTTGAAACCAAAGCTGTCTGACTATAACAAATATTCTAATGAGTACCTTAGCATCTAAGATAATAAAAGTCAGTCCTGAGAAGGCCATTGGGGAAAAATTCAATATAAACATCAGAGTACCCTAAGAATACCCTTCAGGTGTCTGGAGACAGAGATGAACCAGACAGAGAGAGAGAGAGAAAATGGTAATCTTTTTTTTTTTTTTTTAGCTTAGCTTTTTCACCTTTAGGATTTATTGGTTTTTTATTCATATGTGCATACAAGGCTTGGGTCATTTCTCCCCCCTGCCCCCACCCCTCCCTACCTCCACTCGTACCTCACTCCGCCCCTCCCTCTCCTCCCGCCCCCTCAATACCCAGCAGAAACTATTTGCCCTTATTTCTAGTTTTGTTGTAGGAGAGGTATAAGCCATAATAGGAAGGAACAAGGGTTTTTGTTGTTGAGATAAGGATAGCTATACAGGGAGTTGACTCACATTAATTTCCTGTGCGTGGGTGTTACCTTCTAGTTAATTCTTTTTGATCTCACCTTTTCTCTAGTTCCTGGTCCCCTTTTCCTATTGGCCTCAGTTGCTTTTAAGGTATCTGCTTTAGTTTCTCTGCATTAAGGGCAACAAATGCTAATTAATTTTGTAGGTGTCTTACCTATCCTCACCCCTCCCTTGTGTGCTAAAGCTTTTACCATGTGCTCAAAGTCCAATCTTTAAAAAAAATTTTAAAAGGAGTTCTCAGCATTTTAGAGACAGTTCTGGGTTAAAAACTTGGGCATAATCCCTGAATTAAGATCTTCATTCTTATTTCTGTCTTCTTCAGTGATCCCAACACTTCCAGCACAGGAAATAACAGCCATCTCCCAGTCACCCTGCTTTATCATATGAAATCTCTCTGTCACATAGGGACTGCGGGGGCCCCATGAGGGCAGGGACCAAGTCTGTCTTGTTTGAAGCTGAATCGTCAATGTCCAACACCCATCTGTTGAACTCTACAGTTATTACTAACTTTCCTGAACTTTCTTGGGACTGCTAATGACTCAGGTAGCCTCCCAAGCTAGCCCCACGCCTATCCCTTCCTCCTTATGCAATGAAATAAACCTAAGCCTTTGAGCTGGATCATCTAAGATATAAGACCCAAACAAATGAAACTAACAATTCATCTGTGACTTCTCACTATAGAGATGAAATGAACCCTGTAACTCCCAGGGCCCATAGCCCCAGGGAACAGGTGTAAGTGCCTCAGAACTGAACCACTTGGTCATACATAGCTACAGGAGAGCCTGGCTGACAAAGGTGAATATGCAAACAAAATCAAAATATTTGGCAGGGAAAGAAAATAAAACAGAACTGCCTTAAATCTTTCCAGGCCCTTGCTGCCCAATATTTAGAGAACAGACACAAGATTCCTGAATCAATATTTGACTTTCCAGACCCACAGTGTCTCAGCTCCAGGGAGAAGGTTCTGCTTTCACAAGGAAGTAACAGAGACCTACCTTGATCTCTTCCCAGAAGAGTCACACCCACTAACCCTCTAAATATTACCTCCACATCCCCACGGATAACAGGAAACAAGCTCTTTCCAGATTGACTCCAGA